TAATATATTACACTACCCCAGTCAAACATACACAAGCCAGGTAAAAAGAAAACCAAGAGAAGAGAAAAAAAATGTTCTGTTTTGTCTTTTTCTAGCCCCTTCTCTGCCCACCTTCTGTATTTTTTCATTTCTATAGTACAAACTTTCTGTCTCAGAAAAAGTGTTTACTTAACCATAATACTGACCAATGATGAAATAAACTCAGAAAAAAATATACCTGAATTGACAGGTGATCCTTTAATGGACTGAGTGTAAATAGCTTAGAGCTTAAAGCTTAGACATTAGTGTCCCATACATGAAAGGTCAGTCACCAATTCCTGTTCCAATTCTGTACAAAATACATGGGTATAGTTTATGACTGTTATAGTATATACTGCCAATACATCATATAAAGTAACTGTATTTGCATGAGCAACTAAGGGCTTGTTTACAATCTTGCAGTTATTTATTTTATTGACCAGCCAATATTTGCTAAAAATCCTGTCACCACGGTTAACGACTAGTGACTGTTTACTGACTACAAAATTCCACCAGTAGTGGCGGGGAGTTACAGGTTGCCTCTATGTAAAACCAGTCACTATGTAAGGGTAATGTTTCCCATTGGAACACTATGGAATCTGCTAACCACTATTTAGCCACTGGTTTCCAACCCTGTCACTGCTGTTTAATGGCTGCTGCAAATCCCCCCAAAAAACATCACTCACCTATTGCTAAAATAAGTTAACAGCTAACTTCCTACACATACTATATAAAAAATGGATGTTATCTCTTTGGTATTACACTTTTTCTTTAATTTCATTGCTGTTTGACATGGTATTAAAGGACCACTATAGTGCCAGGAAAACATACTCGTTTTCCTGGCACTATAGTGCCCTGAGGGTGCCCCCACCCTCAGGGACCCCCTCCCGCCCAGCTCTGGAAGGGGGAAAGGGGTAATAACTTACCTTTTTCCAGCGCTGGGCGGAGAGCTCTCCTCCTCCTCTCCGCCTCCGATCCGCCCCGCCGGCTGAATGCGCACGCGCAGCAAGAGCTGCGCGCGCATTCAGCCCGTCGCATAGGAAAGCATTTACAATGCTTTCCTATGGACGCTTGCGTGCTCTCACTGTGAAAATCACAGTAAGAAGCATGCAAGCGCCTCTAGTGGCTGTCAATGAGACAGCCACTAGAGGATTAGGGGGAAGGCTTAACCCATTCATAATTATAGCAGTTTCTCTGAAACTGCTATAATTATGAAAAAATGGGTTAACCCTAGCTGGACCTGGCACCCAGACCACTTCATTAAACTGAAGTGGTCTGGGTGCCTAGAGTGGTCCTTTAAAACACGTATCACTGCATATTAAACCACATCAAACAGCAATGAGATAGCTTATATAAAGCAATCTCGCTTATAAAGCCTGGTAAAGACTACTGCATTTGTTGAAACATTGCCACTGTTGTGGTTTGTGCTATGCACTAAATAGAATGACACTCCATAGCAACAGTGCTCATCCATTTTTTTATTTGGCTTTGGTTATTGGTTTTGGTGAAATGGGGGGATTTACAGCACCTAATTTCAGTAAGTGCTCAGACATTTTTTGACTTTATTCACATTGTGGTTAAATAGCATGGCATATATTTGTATGATTGTTACATATAGTTAGATAGTTACATAGGCTGAAAAGAGATGTGTACATCAAGTTCAGTCTTCCTTGCATCTGTGTTTTTGCTGTTGATCCAAAAGAAGGCAAAAAAAAAAACTTTGATGAAGCACTTCCAATTTTGCAACAAACAAGGAATAAAATACCTTCTTAAGCCCAGAACAGTCAGATTTATCCTTGGATCAAGAAGTTGTTACCCTATAGCTGAACAATTGTGTCACTGAATAATATGTTTGCAAGTATGCATCTAGTTGTTTATTAAAGGAACACTATAGTCACCTAAATTACTTTAGCTAAATAAAGCAGTTTTAGTGTATAGATCATTCCCCTGCAATTTCACTGCTCAATTCACTGTCATTTAGGAGTTAAATCACTTTGTTTCTGTTTATGCAGCCCCAGCCACACCTCCCCTGGCTATGATTGACAGAGCCTGCATGAAAAAAAAACTGGTTTCACTTTCAAACAGATGTAATTTACCTTAAATAATTGTATCTCAATCTCTAAATTGAACTTTAATCACATACAGGACGCTCTTGCAGGGTCTAGCAAGCTATTAACATCTTAATTAAACAGAACTTGCAATAAAGAAAGTCTAAATAGGGCTCTCTTTACAGGAAGTGTTTATGGAAGGCTGTGCAAGTCACATGCAGGGAGGTGTGACTAGGGTTCATAAACAAAAGGATTTAACTCCTAAATGGCAGAAGATTGAGCAGTGAGGCTGCAGGGGCATGTTCTATACACCAAAACTGCTTCATTAAGCTAAAGTTGTTCAGGTTACTATAGTGTCCCTTTAAACGTCTGTACAGACTTTGATAACACCACTTTTTTATGGTGAAAATTCCACATCCTTATTGTTCTTACAATAAACCTTAAAAAAAATTGTAATTCTAAAGAAAACAAAAAACAAATTCCAGGCTGTATGAGTAATGGAAACATAATGAATGCATTCAACTCAAGTATTACTCATTTACATGTGGTGTTGCCTAAGTGAAAACATGTGAACCTGACAGTAAGATTTGATGTCTATTCTGTCATTTGGTATCAGCTGCCTATAATATGTGATGCTATTTTAAGAATTTACATTTGATTTAATAGTGTGCGAGAAAACCTACATAAAGGCAAATAACTTATGCATGTATTTCTTTTCAAAGATCTGTTAGACTTACTCATCTAACTTGCTTTTTCTAAAAAAAAAAATAAGGTAACTTGACAGATCTAGTGTAACAGATTTCTTGGTGGAAAGCCAGTTAACTGGTGGAAACATAAAATCTGACATTGTAACAGGCAGTGCGCTGTGAAATAATCAACCACAAACAGCTACACTTTGTATTTAAAGATTTTAATTAGAATAAAAAAGAAAAATGTGTGGTCTCTTGGGACCCGTCCAAAAAAAACAGAGTAGGCAGGTAAGTAGCCTCTTCACTTTATCAGGCCTGAGAACCATCCCAAATTTGGCAGGTTAGTCTCTATTTTAGGGTCCTGTCCCACCATTGAGACTTTGTTTCCTGCTTTTGGAGACACCAGGGAACTGTCCCCAAAAGCGTTGCACTAGCAAGTCTAATGGTGCTCACAGCAATAGGGCTGTGCAGAGTGCACTGCCTGCATGATCCAGTAAACTTAGTGGATAATATCTTTCAGTATCTGTTGGTGGGCATCAGAGTTTTACATTTTTTTTTGCATAGAGAAATAGGAAGATTTAATTCGAAAACATTTGACTGAGCAGCAATGGGTGGTAGTGACTGGTTGAGCGTGTCAGCTGACCACTTTCAGTCTATAACAGCACCCATTGCTGGTATAAATTGGTATGGCTAGATGGAAGTGTTTAATGTCAGCCTTAGCCACGCCTCTAGTTGGAGCCAGACTGTGGGTGGCCAGTGTTGAAATGCATGACAATGGTTTAACACTGAATTGAGGGACAGTGCAAGGGGGCTCCAGGCACCATAACCACTTCAATTTGATTAAATGGTTATAGTGCCTACAGTTTCCCTTTAAGGCTTACAGTCCTTGATAGAGAGAGATGAATGTGGTGTTTAAAACAGTGCTATAAATACATTTAATATTTAAAATGATATTAAACATTAATTGTGTTGTAATGCAATAGCCGGGTGGTGAGAAAATCCCTGGTGATATAAAGAGTAGGAAATTGAGTTACACTGCTGACTCTGCTTTCACAAACAGCTTGGAGATCCCTAGAGAATCAAGGATATTCAGTGTTCATTGTATCATATCTAAAATCCACACTCTGAATATTATACGGGATAGACTATTAAAAAAAAAATGTAATAAACCAAACACGAGCAATGGGCATCGTTCACAAATTCAATAAGAGTGTCAGCAGGGCTAAGAGAAAATACATAAAGCACCTGTCAATCCAGAGACAACTGTAGGCAACTTTATTTAATAGTAGAATGTAACCCCTTCACTCTCAAACTTGCATAAATCCTATTTTACTTTCCTTTAAATTTAGTCCATAAAGCCTCACTTATCTTTATTTATATTCTAAGAATAAATACCAGTTCATGCATGCCAAGTGTCCCTATTTAGAACAGGCCCTATGTTTGCCCCCAAAAAAACATTTATCTCTTACATTACATCTTTCCATTATAGGCTGGAGGGGGGAACAGGGGCACTGTTGAAGTAGATGGAGGATTAGGATCACTGTGGCAGATGGGGAGCAGGAGCACTGTAGCATTAGATGGGTGAACAGGGTCACTGTAGCAGTAGATTGGGGAGCAAGGGCACTATAGCAGCAGATGAGGGGAGCAGCGGCATTGGGGTAGATGGGGAGCATGGGTGCTATAGCAGTATATGGGGCAGCAGGGGCACAATAGCAGTAGATGGGGGAGCAGGGGCACTGGGGTAGATAGGGGAGCAAGGGCACTATAGCAGTAGATAAGGAGAGTATTGGCACTAGGGTAGATGGGAACAATGGCAATATAGGGGTAGTTGGGGCACTAAATGGGTAGATGAGGAGCTGGGGCACTATATATAGGGGTAGATGGGAGAACAGGGGCACTATAGGGGTAAATGGAGGGAGCAGTGGCACTATAGGGGTAGATGGCGGGAGCAGAGGCACTAAAGGGGTAGATCGGGCACTATAGGGGTAGTTGGGGAAACATGGGGCACTATCGGGATAGATGGGGGAGCAGGGGCACTATGGGGTAGATGGGGACACTATAGGGGTAGATGGGGAGCAGGGCACTATAGTGGTAGATGGAAGCACTATAGGGGTAGATGGGGGAACAGGGGCACTATAGGGGTAAATGGGGGAACAGGTGCACTATAGGGGTAAATGGGGGCACTTTAGGTTTAGATGGGGGGACTTTGGGAGCAGATGGGGGCACTATAAGGGTAGATTGGGGCACTATAGTGATAGATGGGGGAGTAGGGTCACTATAGGGGTAGATGGCCCCCCATCTACCCCTATAGTGCCCCTGCTCCCCCATCTACCCCTATAGTGCCCCAGCAGGGGCACTATAGGGGTAGATGGGGCCACTATAGGGGTAGTTGGGGAGCAGGGGCACTATAGGGATAGATGGGGGAACAGGGGCACTATAGGTGTAGATGGGGGAGCTGGGGCACAATAGGGTTAGATAGAGGCATTATAGGGGTAGTTGGGGAGCAGGGGCACTATAGGGGTAGATGGGGGCACTATAGGGGTAGATGAGAGAACAGAGGCACTATAGGGGTAGTTGAGGGAGGGGTGGCACTGTAGGGGTAGATGGGGCACTTTATGGGTAGATGGGGAAACAGGGGCACTATAGGGGTAGATGGGGGCACTGTAGGTGTAGATGGGGCACTATAGGGATTGATGGGGGGCACAATAGGGGAGCGTGGACTCACATACTAGGCAGCAGGTTTGGGCCTTGGTTAGCAAAGCGCCGCCGCTGCTTAGCTCCGACCCACCAGCCGCTTAGCTCCGCCCCCTACAGTCTTTGCATTCTGATAGAACACCGGGTAGAGGATAGGGAGGGCAGGGAGTGTGCAAACTGTGTCGGCCACATGGCGCCCCCTGCTGCCATGGCGCCCTGTGCAACAGCACAGCTCGCACACCCCAAAGGCCGATCCTGGACGCCTGCGAGGGACAGGTTCAGGTAAGTAAAACCTACCTTCCACTGCCGGCCCAAAAAATAAGCAGAGCTATCATCATCTGGAGTCTCTTCAGAATTTGTTAACAACCCAGAAAGTGACAGAGCTGCATTAAATCACTTTATCACTCACACAGTCTCCCAACATACTTTTCAAAAAGAGTCTACATTGCTTAGTGTGATGAAGTGACCTTCGCCACTTGGTCGTGGAGAGGCCTGCTTGCCAGTCTCCTTCCCTATGACTATGACTCTTTGATGTATTTGGCTTTAAAGCCCCTATTCTACCTTCAGACAGACTATTTATGTAGGTTGCTTTATTTCTCTTATGTTTTAGTCACCCTGTACCCATTATAGGTGCAGGGTGTGTGTAATGTAATTGTTTATAGTGTGTGTGTGTGTACTGTGAAATGTATTGCCTGCTCTCCTGTACTGCTGAGGTTTGCTACCAACTAGGTGGATTTGGCTATGGAGCTTGTCTAGTGCCCTCTGTTGGTAGCAACAGCAATATGCACTACCTGAATAGCAAGACTGGTTCATTTGCATATTCGGGTAGATTTGCATATTGCTAATTCTGCAGGCACGTGAGATATTTTCTGTTAAATATTGTCTCCCCCACCCCTTTAAAAATATGCCATTGTGTTATAATAAGTCACTGTATGTTGCCTGCTATGATTTGACTGTTTGTAATTTTATTGAGTTTTCACAGCAATGTTAATGTAATGACCATATGGGCTAGTCCCAAGCAAAATAAAAGTTTGGACAGTTCTTCTTGATCCTTCTAAATGTAGCCTTGTCTCTTTATTGGAGGGAGTTGTTATAATCACACTGGGGATTGTTATGCTCTGCATACTCCCCTTACCTTGACTCACTTAGCCCTTTTAAGAGTTTGTTCCTGACACGCTCTCCTTGGAGGAGAGGTCTTCATCACACAGTCCTGGATGCTGGAGGTTCATACAGGGTGAAAGGAAGAGGTCTTTCCCACATGGTCCTGGAGTACAGAAGCTGATCCAGGGTGGAAGGAAGACGGTGAGACTCCAGTCAAGCTACAGCGCTTGCAGAGTCTGCGGTGTTTATGGTGTCCGGTGCGGTGCTTGTGGTCCTCGGCGCGAGCTAGGAAACGTCCATCGACGGAGGGTACTCGGTCAGAGTACGGGGATCTACGTTACACTTAGTTTGCCTTATTGTGGTGTGTTTAATTTAGAATTTCTTAGCTTGTGCCCTGTTAATTACCTGCTAGAACCTACCACAGCAGGGCCAGACTGGGGATACAAAGCAGCCCTGGAAAAAAATGTTATGCCAGCCCCATAAGTCATTGCGCCATATATTGTCGCATGTAATATGTAAAGCTATGTCTTGCCACCCCAGATGATTTAGTAATATATATTATATATATATGTATATATATATATATATATATATATATAAAACAAAAAGAGTAATGCACTACACCTTCCTTGATGTACTTGCCCGGTGCTTATCAGCAAACAGATACAGCCAAAAGTACAAGATAGTACTCCAGGGACTTCCAAGTTGAATGAATAAAACTTAGCTTTTATTAGCTCAAAATAAAAATCAACGTTTCAGTCTGTATCACAGACTTTCATCCTGATGAAAGTCTGTGATACAGACTGAAACGTTGATTTTTATTTTGAGCTAATAAAAGCTAAGTTTTATTCATTCAACTTGGAAGTCCCTGGAGTGCTATCTTGTACTTTTGGCTATAAATATATATATATATATATATATATATATATAGCTTTTTCTAATATAAAATATTGGTCCTTTCAGAGTAAAACGTTTATTTATACAGTAAGCATACTCACATGCAGACACAGACAATCTCACTGACATCTTAAAGACACACACAAGGTCATTGATACACAGCCTCATAGACAAACAATCTCACTGATATACATAAGCTCATTGACATAAAAACATAAGCTCACTCACTAGCAGGCACACACATGCAAGCAAGCTCACTCACTAGCAGACGCGCACACACACACAGCTTAATGTAGTGGTACTGGTGTCTATAGCATGTCCCTACAGGCTTTTCAATGTAAACACTAACTTTTAAGAGAAAAGGCAGTGTTTACATTGCTTCAAAGTGACACCTCTTGTGACAGTCACTCAGACGGTCACTAGAGGTGCTTCATGTGTCAGTGCTGCACCTACATTCAGGGCCTCCACACTCTGGAGGCGCTGAACGTTCCCCATAGAGATACATTGATTCAATGCATCTCTATGAGGAGATGCTGATTGGTGTAGCATTTTGCAGCCAATACTATGGCAAAACATTGGATTGGCTGAAATCATCAAGCTTGATGATCTCAGCCATAGAGGCAGGGCCAGTCGAGGGGAGACCAGAACGCCGAGTGGGGGGAAAAAATGTGAGCAAAAACACTATTTTTAAACACACATATACACCATGATAGACACAGAAACACACATATACCATGACAGATACACACTCCATGACAGACACACACACACACCATGACACAGACACACCCACACACCATGACACAGACAGACACACACACCATGACACGGACAGACACACACCATGACAACACACACCATGACACAGACAGGCACACACACACCATGATACAGACAGACACACACCATGACAGACAGACACACACACCATGACACAGAGAGACAGACACACACACACCATGACACAGACAGACAGACATACACCATGACAGACAGACACACACACACCATAGCAGACACGCACCATGACACAGACAGACACACACATCATAGCAGACAGACACACAACATAACAGACAGACAAACTCACACTGACAAACATTACTACTCCCTGCCAGGCAGTCATGCAGGGCAGACGGCTGTCTGTGCTGGCAGCCGCTGGGGGACCTGTGCTGGCGGCCGCTTGTGGCCGCTGGGGGACTTGTGCTGGCGGCCGCTGGGGGGACCTGTGCTGGCTCTGCTCCCCCACCCTCGCGTGCTACTGAATGAGACCGCGGCCGGAATATGACGTCATATTCTGGTGCCGGTCTTATTAAGCTGCGCGCTGGGGAACAGAGACAGTGCAAGTCCCCCAGCAGCTGCCAGCACAGGTCCCCCAGCGGCCGCCAGCAGAGCTCCCCTAGCACACCCAGCTGTTTGCCCGGCCCCAGGTGCCGACGGCCCACCAGGAAATTTCTCGGTATCCCGGTGGGTCAGTCTGGCCCTGTACCACAGCCTCCTGTGTGTGATTACAGTTCAATTAATAGAGAAGGAGATAAGCTCTTTTAAAGTAAGCAAACTATGCTGTGAAGATCTGGTTAACTATTAAAAGAAAATGGGTATGTGTGACGAAAGCACCTTCGTCACTGGGATTTGAAGAGGCCTGCTTGCCAGCCTCTTGCCCTGTGACTATGGCCCCTGGGATATATTGCCCTTTAAAAACACTATTTGTGCATATTGAATTTTAAAGGCACTGTTTCTGCCCCTTGGACTTTGAACTAGAACAGATTCAAATATGTGGCGGCGGCCATCTTAAATTGTCCAGCAGTGTTTTGCCGTTGAGTGTATGGAAATGTTTTGGGCATGGGACCATGTGCACGGTGGGGCAAAAATAAGACTTCCAGGAAGTTCCTGAGCCCCTGAACCGATCTGGGTAATTTTTGGATATGTTGTTCACCCAGATCGGGGCTATCAGGGGATGTGGCTTTGTGGGGATATGTTGTATTTTGGGGTACTTTTGGGGGTTTGTAAAAATGTATGTTTTTTCCGCTTATAGTTAATTGAGTTAGTCAATTGTTTTAGTTAGTTATATCACAGGAAGATGGGAGGGCTTGTGTACTGTTTGTGGGAGTGTCGGACATTGTTGTATTGTTCTGATTGGTTTGTGTTCCATTAGGTCCTGGGGGGTTCCTCTGGCCTGAGGAATTGTATAAATTGTGAGTGCTGGCTTGCATAAAACAGACCTGCTTACACCTTCATAAAGTCTTGGCTCATGTTTGGGGGATTGGAGAACTACACTCTGGGGATTGCTATAATCACTATACTCCCCAGAGTATACTCACTAGCTCTTGTAAGAGCTGTTCTTGTTCCTGGTTCCTGCTCTCTGGATTTAGGAGAGGTTCACCCACTGGAAGCTAGAGCCCGGTCTTGGGTCCAGGGTGGGTGGAGGATGGCAAAACCCCAACCAAGCTGCGGCGATTCGTGGGGTTTGCAGTGGTTATGGTTTTGAGTGCGGGGCTGATGGTCCTTGGCAAGCACTACGAGCATCGTTCAACAGAGGCACCCAGTTGGGGTGGCAGGCAATCCATCACAATATGGAGGCTGTGTAAGTAACTTCCAATGGCCAGGGGAGGCATGGCAAGAGCTGCAAAATAATCTTT